GTTAGAACCCGCAGATTGCCGCTCGCGGCTATATTAGGCTTTAAGTTTATCTTCAAAGCCTGCCACTTCTTGTTTCAGTTCAGTTTCCTTCATGATGAAATTCATAATGTCTATATTGTTCTTTGACATTGTTTTCAGTTCTTGTAACTTTGTCTTTATTTTAAGGGATTCTTGCTTAGTTTGTTCAATGATTGACGATCAGTGATGGACTTAATGAAAGACAGGATTTGACTCCTTTTCTATGATATAATTATTAACTTATATCTCCCTCCACAGGTAATTTGGATCCACAGGGAGAGATGAGCCACAAGGCCCCTTGTCACTTCCCTATCACTCCCCCTTACTATTTAACGTAAGTGTAGAGGGATAGAAGTAGGACCTGCAGTCTATCTGTCTTTACAAAGATGTCATCTAGATAAAGGGATAAAGTTAAATTCACCTATCATTCTTGTAACTCTTGTACTCTTAGATCTTGCTGTGTTTTTTTTTTATCTATGTACCTAATTGTGTGTAGGCTACATGTATTATGCTTTCTGGATGAACTGTAAGAATCTTTTGAACACACACACACACACACACACGCACACACACACACACACGGGCGCACTGCCTATATTTACGCCCCTTATTTTTTTTCATCCTGCATAAAACCCTACACTTTTAGGGGTAAGGACCTCTGAGATTCTTAAGTAAGAAATGGAAACAGCAGTCCAACAGAGGGGTAGTATGCTGGTTATAGTAGCATCGTCAGTATCATGCGTATTAATATCCTACAGCAGTAGTAGTCTAATGTTGTGGTGTCATTACTCCAGCCAGCGTCATGGCCCGCCCTCCCTGCTGTTCAGTGTAGTCAGGTTGGGAAGGAGGACGGGTTAAACTGGCAATTCACATAGCACTGGATTTACCGGACTCCACCTGTCGCGAGCCCTGTTTTGTTCTGTCAGTGTCGCAGCAAACGATAACAGCGCGCTGTGACAGAGGTCGGCACGAGACACAAACACAGGAGCGAGACCTGGCTTGTTCTTTTTTTCGTTTACAGAGGACAGAGGGGGAAACAACAACCATAACTCCGGTGGATGGTTTTATCCGCAGTGTCTCAGCCAGCCAGCCAACCGGGGAGCAGAATGTCAAGACAGCAGCACCGGACGCCGTTAAAACTCACCGACAACGTGGTGGAGGTCAAGAGCAAAGTGAGTACTTGGCGAATGGGGTTGTTTGTTAATGTAAGTGGTTATGATAGGATACGGGCTCTGGTTTATGCTTCCGTTCTGCCGGTGCACTGACATCACCAACAGAAACCGATGCACGTTTACTGTTCCACACTGCCAGTTCAGGGACATACTGTGCATGAAAAGCGACTGGATGCAGCTGAAAGGCGGCCTGGATGAGTTTACTGTACACGGACTAATCGACCCCGCCGCTCCGTTTAATTATTTAGTCGTTTCCCCTCCGTGTCTCTACTAAGCAGTCTCCTCCTGTCCCTATACTACGTTTCAGTGTCTCTTGGTTAGTATTTATAGCTCCAGTCAATTAAGATAGCCTGCTTGCAGCTGTGTTACTGTAATACTGCAGTGTAGTGTTACTTTATTCCGATGTACAGCCTGTCAGTGTTGACACGTTACACTAGGCTACAGCAGGTGTTGCGTTTGCGCTATACTTCGTAACTACATTCCGCAGGCTAGTCTGTAGTTTTGAAGTAATGGTAGGCCTCGTTACTCTATGAGAGTATTTTTATTTGGGGAGGCAACAAGACCAATTACTCTGTTCGAGCTGTAGAAACACCCCACTTGATGATGGAGATGTTATAACCCCCTCCCCCCTCTCAAACAGGGAAAACAGAATCATGTTGAAGCTTAACATCAGTCACAGAGGTTTATTTTGCCAACCAATTTCTAAACTTAGAGTCACTAGCGGCGCTGGGCCCAAATCGTTTCTTTCATTCACACACTCTACTTGTCACTCACATATGCAGCTAAATGCATTCAGTGTAGGTTGTCGTAAAGGTTATAGCGCTGCATCATTAGTAGGTTGAGGTCGACACCTACAAAGCCAGGATTGGCGTTTGATCAGGTTTATTTTAGCCAGCAGCCATACCCATGCCAGGCCCGATCGGCGTGAAACCAATATATTTCTTACGTACATTAATATGTTAAATACCATAAAACAGATCCAAGACTTTGAAACCTATTGTTATACAAACATTTAAATACAAGTAAGAGTATGGTACTAGAAGACACTGTGGTAAGCTGTGTTTGTTTTCCTAATACTGTGAATAATGTGCACTATGGTTGCTCTTCTCCCTTTATCAAGTGTCTTGTCTTAGGTCTTGTGTCTGTTGGTGTTGTGTGTGGCTTATATGTGGGTCAGCATGGTTATTGTGTGTTGGCCTTAAGTTTACAGACTTGACTGTCGAACAGTTGCCATTGCTTGGCAGTTAAATTTTCCCTTTATATAATTAGTTAAACAAGACTGAACACGGTGTCATTGTTTTTCTCAAGTGGAGTTGTGGTGGCTGAAGTAAATGTTTTGGAATCAATCAAGCACATTTTTGCTGCATCATTTTGTCAGGACATCTTGCTGTGGAAGCAGTTTATAGCACAGTTTTATTAGTATTTGATCACTGAAATTCATCCATAATTTTAAAGTCAAGTTTTATATTGAAGTCAAGTCTCAGTTGTAATGAAATGATGTGACTGAGGTCCTACCTTGGTGAAACCTGCCCTCCTCCAGCACACAGTCGTAGTGATACTATCTACTAATCTAATTACTTGGACAAAAACATGATTTTTTTTACATGTAGTCAGGCAGGGAGTCATGTTGTCATGTGACAGATAACTTTTTCACTGCTTGAAGTTGCTACATGTTGTTATGTTGGGAATTGATCAGCAGCCTGTCATACTAGTGATGCATATTCATGTTTTCATCATAATCTGAATTATACAGGCTGCTACTGTTCCATTGTGGCATTAAAAATGGCTCACTTTACTTGTAATGCACACCAGCACAGTGAGTTATGGCAATAGCGCTGTTTAGCCATTTACATAATTACATAAACCTAACTTTCCCTGTAACAATCCATTAGACAAGAATTTCCAGTGGTCTAATTTCTGGTATGCATCTCCCCACCCCAAACAGCATGTTTCCTGTGAGGTACAATCACACCTTGTCAAAACAATTCTAAGTATGCCTCTCCACTGATACCACGTCATGTTGATCATCACAGGCCTCTCTCTACTACCATTACAAATGCTATGCTTCACTCTCCAGTTTAAGGAAAAGTAATTAAACAATTCCTGCCAGTGATGCATCCCACCATCCAGGTATTTCTGCTTGAGGATTGATGAGGTTGGGTAGTCCAGAGAGAGTTCAGGGATTTAGACTCAAGACATTTAGAATGGAGCTGTATGAGTTACATATCCAGAATATACCTTAAAGAAGGCTGTTTGACCAGGTCACGAGAGCCGCTGTGTGGCTATAGTGTCTCGTTCATCAGCTAACATTAGCACAAAGGACACATCCACAGTGAGCAGGGTAGCCGATTCAGCAAGAAAGACTGGAAAGTCTCTTAGTGATGGCTGTTCAGCTTGTGTGTATATGACTGTGGTATTAAACAGATATGTTTATTCATGTATTCATTAGACTGACAGAGCTCAGAGAGCTTGTGGGACATAGCAAACTCACCACTGACACAAAGTTAGCAATAAAAACGACACCAATACTATGCGTTCTAATGTTAGTAGTAATGTAGTGTTGATATAGTAGGCCATGAAAATGTTGAAAAACAGTATTTTCTAACATGTATAATGTGTTAAGAAAGAAATCACTGATTTTGCTATACCCAGACTTTAACTAACCCATTTCAGCCAGACCGTAATCCCTGCTTTATGCAAAGAGGCTAAATTATGTTACTTTTCATGCATTTAACATTTTAAGAATCAAGAAAATTTATTTGGCATTTCTACTTTTTGTTCTATCAAAAAATGTACTGAACCGTGACACCACTGTATCTTATGTAATCAAACCATGTTTTTTCTGAACCATTACACACCTACTCTGTACCCATTCAAAAGAACACAGTGCATAAGAGTGGATCAGTGATGAGGCATTTAAACTTGTGAAACACTCTGAGTTTGCACACAGTGTCAATAGTAAGTTTACAATCGTAAGCTCTATGTGGAGCATACATGTAAGATTAACTGAGAACATGTCCAGCTTGGCCACAGTTCAAAAGGTCAGACTTATGGCTGGCTTTGACTACACAATATTTTTGTCTGTTACAGTGGTCACTGTGTCAGATAAGGTGCCATATCCTGTGTGATGTCATGGGAGGTGCTAGGGTACAACTTCTGGGAACAAGAATGTAAAAAACAATGACATCCAAAGTGGTGTGTATGTTACAGGCCAGACACATGCACATGCACAGATAGACCCTAGGTGATGCTTAAGCACCTGCCCTTTTGGCCTCTGCCTAGATAAGTGCCCTTCTTGCAAGACCTATTTTTTTATTTCTTTTAAAAAAGATTTATTTTAGTTTTTAAATTTGCACCATGGTATCAATTCTTTTTCTTTTTTGGCCTTTATTGGAAAGGACAGATTAAGTGGAAGGACACTGCAAATGGGACACACAATCCACCCACCGAGCCACTGGGCGGCTTGGACCATGGTATAAGTTCTTAACTAAAAGCATACTGTATGCCTGACAACTGCATTTGAGTCAATCTCCTTGCCCTCCCTCTTTACCTTCCCTTGATTTTACAGCCACCACAGTTAACACACCCAAATCGAGTGCCCTGTGGCACAGCATCCGTGTCTCCTTTCTTTATGGACAGCCAGGTAACAATAGTGTTTGCAAGCCTTAGCATTGTTGGTTGCTGTTGTGAAATTAAACCACTGTTAAAACGTGAATACAGCCAGTCTGACTTAGGCAACAACCCACCATTACACTTAAAAACAAGTCAGCTTTAAAATAATGTTTGCATCCCCCACACACTGCTGAGGACCACAAGATGCAGAGGAGGAGATGAGAGGCACTGAGCTGCTGCTGCTATTCTTTAGGAATATTTAATAGTTATTTAGAAGATAATTATATGAATTAGTACATGACAATTTAAAAAAGAAAGAGAAGGAGAAGAAAATAAGGTGAAGAATGAGCTGAAGAGGAAAACATCAAGACGAGGAGAGTGACAGAGAGAAGAGGAGAGGAGAGGAAAGGAGAGGAGAACAAAATCAGGAGGAGAACAGAGCAGGATGCACTTAGCCTGACTGTTTCAGCTGGACACAGGCCTACTTTGTAGTTTGGAGTGTAGATTGATTGGTTTATTATGGTATTTATTCAGAGAACAGCATTTTTCAATTTTTTTTTGAAATTTTTTGATTTGAAGTCCTCTGAAGCGTTCACAGTTTGCATTGTTTTCGTGGTTGTTAACTGTTGCATAAATGTACAAAGTGAGTTTGGATGAGTAGCAGCTGCGAGGTACCTATAGTGCAGATCCTGAGACACTTCATATGCAAGTTTGACAGACATTTTCCCTTCTCATTACTGTGCACAAAGGTACTGTATGTACTTAGGCCTCAAGAGTGCTTCTGGTGCCAGCAGACCCATAGAAACTTCTTAACAGGGTGCACTTTGCCAGCGCACAAAACTTTTCTTCCTACATGTGCACCGGTGTGACCTGTTTGTTTCTGCTTGTGCAACTGCCTCACAAATAGTCTATGCACAGCACTGTTATTACTGGCTGTCTTGTTTTCAATCAGTTCAATCAATTTTTATTTATAAAGCCCAATATAACAAATCACAATTTGCCTCAGAGGGTTTTACAGCATACGACATCCCTCTGTCCTTAGGACTGTCGCAGCGGATAAGGAAAAACTCCCAAAAAAACCCTTTAACAGAGAAAAAAATGGTAGAAACCTCAGGAAGAGCAACTGAGGAGGGATCCCTCTTCCAGGACTGACAGACATGCAATAGATGTCGTACAGAACAGATCAACATGATAAATTAACAGTAATCCGTATGACACAATGAGATAGAAAGAGAGACAGAGACAGACAGTGAGTGATGAAAAATATTTAGGGGCACATGTGCACATAAAAAAATCAGCCGAAGCAGCCTATATTTTTGTCAATAAAAAAATATGATAATCTAACCACAAATATTGAAGGAACTCCAGCCATCTTCCCTCTTCCCCGT